CGAGGTATTTTGGCGTCTCATTGTGTTCCAGCATCTGACCATGCCATTCCACTTCCAGTGTCCTCTGGTCATGCTTGTTTCTAAGGTGAAAAGCACACACCTAGGTTTTTGTAGGATTGGGTTTCAGATGGTTTTCGTCATAGTATAGTGCTAAAGTCTTCTATTGCATCTGTCAGCTTTACTTCGATTTCTTTGTAGGTACTTCCCTGAGCTGCCACAGCTGTATCATCAGCGTAAATAAACTGTCTTGTTTGTTGGTTTTTGGGTTGGTCGTTGGTGTAATTGTTGTATAGCAATGGCGCGAGGACACTTCTCTATGGGAGTCCATTTTTTTTATCCCTTTACCGACTGTTCTTGGACTGGAGCGTTAAAAAATCCGTAAAATACAATTCAGATTTCTGCTTATAATCTGAGCCTTCTAAAAATTGCAAGGCAAACAGCTAATTGCAGTAATTAGATGTCGCTATCGCGTCCGTATTGAAGCCATTTTATTGTTGCTTCTTAAAAGGCAGAAAATATTGATTTTTCACGTTGAGAACTCCTATGAATAGCTGTTCTGATGAGACCTATTGGGTCGAAATACGTATCAACAGATACATAGGAATTGTTTGCGTGAAATCAAATATTTGCTGTCTTTTTCATTTTATTTCAGATCTACTCTGTGTGAGTAGTAGAAGCACAATTCGCTAAGGATTTCTGCTTAGTTGTAAAAGACATGTCGTGGAATGCAAATTTTAGATTCCCCATGTCCCTTTTAACATCTTTTATCAACGTCTGTTTACCTTGCAATTTTTAGAAGGCTCAGATTATAAGCAGAAATCTGAATTGTGTTTCGAAACTATTTTACGGAATTTGTAATTAGATGTCGCTATCGCGTCCGTATTGAAGCCATTTTATTGTTGCTTCTTAAAAGGCAGAAAATATTGATTTTTCACGTTGAGAACTCCTATGACTAGCTGTTCTGATGAGCTATTAGGTCGAAATACGTATCAACAGATACATAGGAATTGTTTGCGTAAAATCAAATATTTGCTGTCTTTTTCATTCTCTTGGAATATATTTTCGTGATATTTGTTTTACGATTTGTACAATTGTGTAATTCCAACAATTTTTGTCAGCTGGTCTCCAATCCTGACAAATATATTGTTTGGGTTGTAACCTCTACGCCATCTTCCGCTTTTGAAAGACGCTGTTTTGGATCATGAATAAGTTTGAGGTTCATGTTTTCATCCCAATTTTCTAGTTCTTCACCATTGGAGTCTGTTCTGTTATACTCCACGCGATACTGTGACAGTTGGAGTCACTCAGTATACATTTTATTTGCTGTGATTGAAAGCTATCCGGTTCCTCAAAAACAAAGTCAGCGTTTAGCGGTTTGAAGATGGACGTTACCGTACAAGACTTTAATTCCACTGTGAAGATCTCGATCTCATCTCGATATGTTAAAGATGTGGAAACTATGTCGGTATCTGATCTGACGAAGACTGCGCTACCATACTGGTCGTGTGGTCTCTCCAGTACAATTCGCATACCTTGAATCCTCGGTCTACGGCCTGCAGTACCTCTTCGGGTTTCTTGAACCAGTAGGACATCGACACCGTGTTCTCTGCACATATTAGACAGTAGATTTTCTTTATTTGCTGATAGTCCTTCAATATTAATGGAAGTAGTCATCAAAAATGGCCTTGACAAAGACCGTTTTGGTTGCGTTTGCATCTGTGTTGGTGCACCGGTGATAAAAGTATTAGCCGACATTACTCGTTTCCAGGGGAACACCCGATTGCTTTCACATATGATCGCAATCTACGTGGAGGCTCCTTTCGTGTTCCCTAAGTCTTAACATAAAATCATCAAATTTTCCGTTACAATAACTATTTTAAAACACCGCCAATTTTTTTGCCTCAATATTCCTCGTCTCGAAATAAAAAACCAGTCGAAAAGTTTCGTTTCTAAGTTTTTACAAGCAAGGTCATGAAACGTTCTTCCACGTATCTGACCCGCTTTGCCAATTCGTAAGAAAAATCGGTATTAATGTTATCTCAAAAGTGGGTCAGTAAGTTTTATTGTTTTATATTTAAAATATATTTGTAATGTTTTTCAAATCAGTAATGTCAAAAAAGTAATTGTGAAAATATTAAGCAACTCAAGAAAAATTAACATGTAAACAAAACAAAAATTTAGTTTTACAGGATATAATTTATAAGTATAATATATAAATATTTAAATCTTTTCATAACCTTTTCTACTACTAATAATAAGAGAAAAGTAAAGTTTTGCAAAATAAACATTTATTATAAATTGTTTAAACATATTACTCAGTTAAATAAACAATTCACAAATTAACTAATTGAATTTTTATAATATATGTAACTAGTTACCTCAATTTAAAAAAAAGACGTCAATTTTTGTTGATTGGAACCAGGGGTATTGCGATTTTTATTTTCCATTTATGAATTCAGTTTTTGAAATTTCAAATTCAATTCAGTTGTAAACCACATTCTTCAAATGGCCGTACATAAAATAATCAAAAGGATTGAAATCTGGCTGACCTCGTTGACCAATTCACCTGTTCGGAAAAATTTCGTCTAGGTACCTTCTAACATCCACAGCATAATGCGGAGACCCACCATTGTGTTGAAACCGTAAACTTTCATCAAAACCTCCAGGATTAATTTTACTGGGAAATAAATTAATTAAAGTAGGTACGAGATACTCCGTTAAAAACCAAAGTTATGTAGTCCGTTTCAACTACCTTCAAAAAATAAGGTCCGATGATTATACTTCTTACAGTGTCAGATACGTTTATCTTTTGCGGGTATTGTGTATAATGCTCACGCATCCAGTTGGGTTGTTCTTTAATGTTTTGCTTCGCAAAAGTGTATTCTTTTATCTGGATCATCCCGTTTTAATTCCTGTACAAGTGTGCATGTAAGGGGATGCTAATTTTCAAGTTTTATAAATTATTGAAAAAGACTGTAAGAATTGTACACACTTCTAAATAGGTCTAACTGGTAAGCAGGTTTTGTATGTTTTCAATAAAATTGATAGTGTGTAAAATAATTTATTAATTAGGCTGAGTATACTTACGACATAATAACAACAACTTAACATTCATAGCATACTTCATAGTCTATCATTTTTCTTCTTTTTCGTGGCCCAATACCACTAAGCCTTTCATCCACCAAATTGTTTCAAGTAAAGGTAATATCTGACAATAAATGTCATTATCAGAGCTATCCTAAAATAACGTTAAGTTAAGTAAATTTTTTATAAAATACAATGACAGAAAAAACTTACGTCAATTAGGCAATAAATACTTCATAGAAGGAAAATTGTGGACAAACAACATATTTAAAAACAATGATCGGGCTCTCTAGGAATCTCATCTGTGTATCGTTAACATCGATATCTAACTTTCGATAGATTCGGTTGTTAATGACTCTAAGAAAAATTTTAAGCAGATTACTCATCAAGGAGATTGTTCGATGATCTGAACATTGCATTGCCTTAGTTTTCTTCGGTATGGTGACAAACGTAGACAGCAGCCATTCTTGAGGTATTATACCAGTACTGTATATTGTATTGAATAGATGTAATATTATGGTTACGCATTTATCATTCAAAAGCTTCAACAGTTCTGTAGGAATTTCATCAGGTCCATTTGCTTTTCCATTTTTAGCGTTACTTATTGCGTATTCTTTTAATATGTCTGGCCCAGTTGCATTGATTATCTGAGTTAAATTGTTTCTACCGTCTTCAAATAATTCATTCAGTTATTCTGTCCATCTTTTTATTTTATTCTTTACATCTACAATAAGATTTCCTTTTTTGTTTCTAAGTTTACCTATTTGGTATTTCTTTATGCTTCCTGTTATCTCTTTTACTTTTTTGTGCATATTGAACGCATCATACTTTTTCTCATAGGTTTCCATTTCTTCACACTGTTCTTTAATCCACGCCTCTTTGGCTTCTTTTATTCTCTTTCTTTTTATGTGTAAATTGCATAAGATGTCACAAAGAAATAGCTTCAGAATAATATTTTATTTATGTGACACTAAAGTTTATTAAATCAACTATCTTCATTTTTTAAATTACCGCACATAATCCCACCAAACTCTCAAAACAGCTAGGTTTTTTTTATATTAAAGTATTTTTTGCCGTAATAAAATTATTGGTAAACATTTTTTCCTGTATCAACCTCTGTGGTAAATATTATTTAAATCTTACAAAAATTTGGTTATAGAATTATTCATGTGATAGTAGTAGAAAAAGGTAAACATATTATTTGTTTATGACGCAATGACCACACATGCAACGATAAAATCAACATGTTTGTTTTGTATGACCGCAAATGCAATGATAAATAGCCGCGATTGCAAATGCTATTACCGCAACTGCATCTGCAATGACACCAATCGATAGTATGCGGGGGCCCTAAAGGAGGTTGAGCGCTACTCGCGTGTCGGATAAACATCGTTAAGTATACCTAACTTTTGATAACTAAATGTGGAATCCTGAAAACTTCATTAAATATCATAATTTAATGTAGAATTGGTTAAAAAGGGAGATTCGAACATTTGTAACATACATTTTTAATTAGACAAAATATCCGTCGAGCAGCATACGAATTTTTCAAAAAAATCTCAATTTTTGTTTGTAATCAAAATTAATTACTGTGTTGAAATAATAAATAGAAATATTTAAATCGAGCTGAGATATCGTCAGTTAAATATAAAATTTCATTAAAATTATTTGTGCTTTTATTTTGGTTATTTATATATCCTCCACTCCAATCACACAAATTTATTTAGAAAAGTGTAGAATTATATTTTGGTACCAACCAATTTGCCTGGTTGCCCCCGAGTTGTGTTCGTATGTTCTCTGCCCGAGTATTAAACTGATAAAATTAAAAAAAAATCATTTAAGTATTTCTGACTTGTTGACCGCAAGTATCACTACTATAGCAATACTTCACTATTTTTCATTGTCGTCATCGTCATACAACGAGACTGAATGTTAATGTTCAATGTCAAATAAACCAGTTCTTAAACCCTCACCTTCCGCTAGTCCGCTTTGAAAAGAAAATAAAAAAATAGTAGTCAGTGTCAGTAGAAATTCATCCTCTGAGCAGTTTACAGTGAAGTATAAAAACACAAAAACAGGTAGCTGGCTGGGATCGCTGGGATAAAAATAGAAATCGTTGACCTCGACGTTCCCCGAAATCTACCGAGCTTTCAGTTCGTGAGGAACTAGAGTACGAGAGGTGACGAGAGTGCATTCGGAATTCTACGCCATCGCGCGTTCCGCATTGTAGGAAATTAATTGATATCCCTACTTTTTTCTTTGTGGAGAGGGAGAAGCTATATTGTCTGCGTCATAACTCGCAGACATCTTGTTCGCAATACAGTGTTGGTTAGGAAACAGGTTATGGTTGTAGTGAACTAGCGCGGGAGTTTGGACAAAATTATATTTTAGTTAATAAAATCAATTATGGATACCAGCACAGGTGAATGCAGACTTTGTTTGTCACAAAAGGAACTAGTTTTAGTGTTTAACTGTGATGGAGTAGGACCTAAACAAATGAAGGAGTTGATATTTTTGACAACTGGAGTTGAAGTATGTAACTTTTTTTTATATTTTTTCTGTTTTATTCTATTAGTTCGTGTTTTACATTTTTTAAGAGCATGCATTAGCTAGGTTATTCCAAAAATTATAAATAGACGTAAGCAGGAAGTTGCTAATTGTTAAAATCATGCGCATTTATTGATTTACACTTTGCTTTTTTTTATATTGGCACTTAAGTTTTATATAGCGATCAAAGATTTCGTCATTCTGAGCGGTGTTGCCATATCTTCTATTAGAGTTTAATAGTATGGCCGTCAAATTTACGCGGTGTTGCCATGTATTTCGTTTGTCATTATTTTTTAGATATTCCAAGTGTAATTTTATTGTAGAAACTTCAACCAAAATCAATTAATGTTTAAAAATTACGAGCTAACAGTTGTATCTTTTATATTAAATCGACATACATTTGAATTTGATGAATTTAATTTTCTTATAAAATAAATAGAAAACACAAATAAATGGCTGCTATAAGGCAACTAATGGTATAAAATCATCTATTGGTTATTGAAAAGTACACGTATGCAAGGTGCGTTTTTTAGAGTTATTACCAGATGACCTTCAAAGGATATACAAAATATTTTGCGAATATTTGACAAAAGAATATTCCTGTTAAAACATCTTTTTGTTATTTCAAGTATTAGCCGAAAAATATAAAATATTACGTCAGTATCATGCAGTGTTGCCATATTCTATATTTGTCACTAATTTTCAGATTTCATGTATGGAGCTTGTAAGTGTATATATTTACATTAATTGCTGCATATAAGATTATCATTATATGGATGAACATAACGTTAGTTTTATTTTTAATCAAACACCCTTTAAAAGCTTATTGGCACCCAGATGTCAACGAACTATATCGTGAAGAGTCTACTATGAATAATACAGGGTGTAATTTTGAAATTATACAGTGTGAAACCACGTATGGAGTAAATATGTTTTGTGTCTTTATATAGAAAATTTAAAAACGGTGGAACCCGTCAACTTTCAAATTTAAATGTGCGCTTTTTAAATATAAATTTATATGTACAGGGTGTTTCACGCAACTCCCTAACATAATTCATCATCTTTATTTTTATTAAAATACCGTATATATTTTTTTCTATTTGAAAGCTACTTAACAATCTGATCTGACATGACTAATCTGTATGTGACTATTATGAATAATACAAGGTGGAATTTCGAAATTATGTGTTTAGAAAATATCGGATATGATATCTGTATTTAGCTAATTTAGAAAAAATACCATTATTTGAAGTGTGCTGAATTATTAATTTCAAAATTTGACGTAATTAATCTCTTACAAAAATTATACATAATTTCAAAATTTCTCCTTGAATTTTGTATAATAGATCCTACATGGTACCGTTGGTTAAGATCAGGTTGTTAGGAGCTTTTAAAAATATAAGAATATACAGAGTATCTCATTAAAAATAAAGAGAACTGTGCTAAACAATTAATCACCGTGTATATATTTATGTTTAAAGTGCATATTTAAATTTAGAAGTTAAGGGGTCTCAGCGTTTTTTATATTTTACAATAAAGACACAAACTAATTTTATTCCGTAAGTGGTTTCCACACTGCAACATTTCAATACTTCACCCTGTAATATTCATAATAAGCCTTGCATAGCTTGTTAAGGTTAGACTGCAAAGGAGCTTTTAAAAATATAAAAATATACAGAGTCTTTCATTGAAAATAAAGATTAGGGACTATGCTAAACTTACATGAGTCACCCTGTACATTTAAATTTATTTTTAAAATGTGCACATTTATATTTAAAAGTTAACGGATCTCAGCGTTTTTACAATTTTTTAAAATAAGGACACATATATACAGGGTCGAAACCACTTATGGAATAAAATTATTTCTGTCTTTAGTTTAATACATTTTAAAAAACGCTGATGCCTGTCGAAACGCTAAGACCTGTCGATTTTGATATATAAATGGGTGCTTTTTAAACATAAATATAAATGTATAGGGTGATTCACGCAAGCCTAGCATTAGTTCATAAGGTTTATTTTTAATGGACCACCGTGTATACTTTGATATTTTTAAAAGCTCCTTAACAACCTAATTTTGATATATAAATGGGTGCTTTTTAAACACAAATATAAATGTATAGGGTGATTCACGCAAGCCTAGTATTAGTTCATAAGGTTTATTTTTAATGGACCACCCTGTATACTTTGATATTTTTAAAAGCTCCTTAACAACCTGATTTCAACAAACTATATCATGTAGGTTCTATTATGAATATTACAGGGTGAAAGCTATGTATGATTTTCGTCGAGAAATTAAATATAAAATCTAATGTATTGATACTTAGTTTATAAAATTCATAGCATATAAAAAAAACAGTATTTAAAATGTGATAAATTATTATTAAAATTATATATAATTTCAAAATTTCTCCTAGTATTATTTATAATAAAACCTATATAGTATACTTTTTTGAGATCAGGTGGTTAGACAGGTCCTAAAATTATACAGGGTGTTATTACATTAAAAATAAATATGCTAGACTAGTGTAAGAATTACCGTGTATATATAAATTTATTTTTAAAAAGCGCCCATTTAAATTTAAAAGATGATGTGTCCCAGCGTTTTTTAATATTTTCTAAAATAATGAATTTTATTCCATAAGTGGTTTCCACACTGCCTAATTTCAATACTTCACCCTGTACTATTCATAATAAGCCTTGCATAATATAGCTTGTTAAGATTAGATTGCAAAGGAGCTTTTAAAAATATAAAAATATACAGGGTCTTTCATTGAAAATAAAGATTAGGGACTATGCTAAACTTACATGAGTCACCCTGTACATTTAAATTTATTTTTAAAATGTGCACATTTATATTTAAAAGTTAACGGATCTCAGCGTTTTTATCATTTTTTAAAATAAGGACACATACAGGGTCGAAACCACTTATGGAATAAAATTATTTCTGTCTTTAGTTTAATAAATTTTAAATAACGCTGATGTCTGTCGAAACGCTAAGACCTGTCGATTTTGATATATAAATGGGTGCTTTTTAAACATAAATATAAATGTATAGGGTGATTCACACAAGCCTAGCATTAGTTCATAACGTTTTTTTTTATGGACCACCCTGTATACTTTGATATTTTTAAAAGCTCCTTAACAACCTGTTTCAACAAACTATATCATGTAAAGCTAAAAACCATATAAAGCCAAAAAACCAATAATTGCCACACAATTTTTCAAAATATTAATTATTGCCACCCAGTCATTGCCATACAGAAATAACTCTACATTTTACTGAAAAATCTTGTTTATTAATAAAAATTCCACAGGTTTTAGGCCTCAAATACATCCACTGGCAAAGTAAATTCATAACGGATCTGTTCACCAGTGGATAATATAATAGGGCTCGGCGGTATGCCTAAAACACGATTTTCGTTAACAAAGTAGATGTATTATCACAAATAAAAATGTTCTTTTCAGCACTAACAGATTTCATAGACATTACTTGTACATCATTATTGTCCATAAGGCCTTGGATAGTACAAACATATCTGTATGTTATGGATTTTTTTTACCACCTAGGAATTTCACAAGTACATAGTTTCCCACACTAAGTTCTCCGTGAGTTAATGGGCAAAATTCTTTGTTAGGGTCATCACAAAAGTCTATGTCATCACAGCTGCTACCACTCCCGACCCACTCTTCATCCTTTCCATCGTCATCAGAAATATCCCGTTTCAGCTTATCCTTCAATAGACATTCTTGCTCTCTTGCAATTTTTCTTTGGTTTTTTCTTCTTTCTTTTTCTTTTCATTTTCTTTTGTCAAGTGATATTCACGCCAATCTACTGATTGTACCACGGATGGAATCTTTTCCTTTAGTTTTATCTTTTTTGTCTGAGGTTTTGGGTCTGGCCAAAACAGTGCTTTCTTAAATGGGGTAGGAACTTTGCATGGACTCTACAAGTGTACATGTGATGTACTTGGTTCAGGAGTAGACAATGTATCCTAGCTATGAGTACCAGAGATATTTGGTTGGAAATTTTTTACTAGTGTGCAGTTGAGTTGGAAATATGGTAATATTGTTTTGGATGGTACATTTAATTTGGTTTGGTAGTGTTTTCATTGTCCATTCTTTCCATATGTTAAAAAGGGATTTATCCTCAATAGAACCATTCCAATCCTGATTTTCATTTAAAGTTACCTTGAACCTATTTAAAGTTTCTTCACCCGGCTTTCCTTCAAAATACTTAAGTGCTTAAGTGACACTCTTTGTGTCACAAAGCTTGTCAAAAACAAGCGAAACCATTTGTCACTGGGACGGCTATAAATAAATGATTTCTCTCTTTCTGTAGAATTTATTATTTTCTGAACTGTATCCAAAAGCTGAACTTTTGAAACAGGAAAATGTCTTTCTCATAGATGTAAAATCCATTTCACTAAGACTGATTCATCTTCTTTGGTTAAAATTGTAAAAAGGTCCATAGAACAAAATAATGGTGACTTTCCATCTCTCTTATGCCTCAAAGTACTATGAGGAACTCCATGAATTTTTGCTGCCGTAGCTGCTGGGATGCCCTTTTTCATATTCTCTAGGGCTTTGGCCAATTGCTCTTTCGAATAATTCCGTTTAGGTGCCATTTCTGGAATGAATAAAATACTTGTAATATCAAATATTAATGTAACCAATGATTGCCACTTTAGAACCAGTGATTGCCACCACTGGCAATAATTGGTAAAAGTAAAGTTTTTTGTAATAAAAGAAATAGTGGCAACACCGTAATTTTAAATAGTAAATTTACACATTATAATGAATTAAAAATAAGCCAAACCAATAATGGCCACTTGTGGCAATGACTGGTATTCATAAAATATTTTGTAACCAGTCATTGCCAGGTACATTTCTTTAGAAATATGTACCCTTAACTGAATTTAAACAGCAAACAAATGTAGTTTAGAGTATTTAAGAGGAGCACATGTGTAAATAATTTTATAAAACAA